AAAGAAAAACAGTGGACTTTATTTAATTTATAAAAATGTAAAAAAGTTGACTTTCTAGACGGAGTTAGAAAAATTCAAATTTTAATTTGATATCCAAATTACATATTTTCAAAAGTCAGTGGAATTTATCTCACGACAAAACACTAACAACATTATAAAAAATACTAATTATAAAGTTTTAATTATATAAAAATCAAGAAACTAAGAAAATACAAACTAAAATTAATAAAAATAATAGTTTATGATTTCTTCTTCTAAACCATCATTTATCATCAACCTCTAAGTAGGATGTTGCATTTTAGAAACTAAGTTGATTTAATATTAACTCAATATTTAGAAACTTCTCAAATGATTGCCCACTGCAATATGATATTATTAAAGTAAATGAAAAATAACCTTAAAGCCGTAAAAATCTGACGAACAGATTTTCCCCTCTTCCGTTTCCATATTCAAAAGAGGGGAAGCGATCCCCTCTTTTGAATATGGAAACTTTTAACAGTCCTTATCATCTGTACTGATTTCTTTTATTTTTCACCAAAATACTTTGACTAAGTTAAATAAATTTAAGGTAAGCATAACTTATAAATTCAAGACAAAAGAATAAAAACTTTGTATCTTTTATTTCAGGTTTCCTTTTTTTCTCTTTAAGGTTTTTAATGTTTTCGAACGTTTTATAAAAACGACAATAAACTTTGTTCCTTTGAAACTTTTGGTCATAAGTATTGGTTTCTTTTTGCTTTGTTATCGACAGTATTGCAATAAGGGAGGTTATGTTATGGCATCAAATTTCGCATGTCGAGTTACCTGTGGAAGTGCAGTTATGCATTGTAGGAATTTGAGTAGAGTAAATGAACTATTTTTAGCGAAATTTCGGTCTAGTGTATCTCAATTTCAATTGGATCGACTTTGATGAAAATTTATATCTAAGTTTATTTTGGTAATGTCACGGGCTGAAATACACGCGGACACTCGATGCTTAGGTAGAATTCGGGGAAATTCGAATAGCATAAGTTGAACCTTTATATTAATTGAACTAGAATTATTATTCTGTTATGTTAAGAAAATATTCCGCAACACTTTCCCTGAACCAAAATATACTTTTGCGGTCGATTACGTATTGACCACATTAGATTTTTTGTTCATAAAATCTATTTATGTATATAAAAAGGAATTTCTATTGAAAAAAAGAAAAATATGTAAGTTACAAAAAAAGTGTGGCATAATTTAAAGAAAAGAAATGGAGATATATGGCATTCGCATGTAAAAATAAAACAAATAAGTAATTCGCAATTTGTCGGACGCATCAAAACGATTTCAAAAGTTTCCACAATGTTGAGTAGAAAAAATAAAAGCCAATTGCAAAATAATACACTGTTTAAGACTTAAGATTTAAAAAGTTTTGAAAGAAACTCGAGTTTGTGGATTTCAGTACTGAAATAAAGCTGGATTAAACGCCAAAAAGTTATGATTTCAAACATCTACTTTCCAATTTATCTTCTATGTATGTATATATATAAGAATTTTGGTTTTTTATACTTATTTAAAATATGATGAATCAAATAAATAAATTTTAATTTAGTAAGTCAAGTATTAATTCTGTTTTTACAAGAGTTAATTTGAATGTCTTTAAAAAACATATTATAGAAATGTTCCGTTGTCCAAAATTCAACTGATAAATGTTGTACAGTGTTGGCGAAATAACTAAAGAAAATTTAATTTATCGAAATAAAATATTCAATTGTTTATCGATATATAAAGGGTCTCAATTACAGACGTTATTTAAATTCCCGTTTCGAGTATGTTCAAGTTGCCGAATAAAACATCATTAAGACATTCAAATAACGTTATCGGTTAAGCTTCCCGGAAAGAGTTTAATGATAAAATCAACTTAAATGATAATTAATAATGATAAATAAAAACAACTACCGTAAATAAAGTCTTGACCAAATGGGTCAAACGTACACTACAAAATGAATGTCAAACCGTCGTATGTAAATTTTAACTTAACTGCACTTTAATTAACTACAACTTAATGATTTTATTTTAGCAAGCTCTTGAGCATTACTTTCAGTTTTCATTCCACTAGAACCAAAATTTTTTTTTAAATTTTTTAATTTTTTTAAATAAATAATTTAATAAACGATTTATTCTAGATAAATTATAAGAAACAAAATACATATTTACTAATTTGGAGTTGTCATATTAAGTAAATTTTATAAAGCCGGCTTGCACCTTTTACTTTTATGTGCTTATAACATGCTGTCCAAAATTGCTAATGCAGCTTCTATAATCAAGGAAAAAATTAAATTTGCCAAAAATCAGATAAGAATTTGAAAAAACGTTCAAATCTGAATGGAACACGTAAAATTATTATTGCTTTGAAAAAACATGTAAATGACTATACTTTTTTTCTCGCATTTTACTTTCATCAATTTTTTTTTAAAATTAAAAGTAAACAATTACTATTTTAATTTAGAAAACATTTTTAATTATCTCATGATATGTGTGTACCTATGTCGAATCATTATAAAATGTCCGATTGAAGCTAGAGCGTGAATTATAAAATGGTTGACAAAAATGAAAACTAAAATTTTTTATTAATATGCTTTTATGTCACTCTCATTCTCAATCAAATTAACCGTTACCTCAATTCTAACAGTTTATATCAAATGAACTGTTACACACGATAATTTTTTAAATGCTTTTGTAATTTTTGTATAAAAATTAAACACTCAAGCGAAAAATAAAAAACTCGAGAATACAAAAAACTATTGAGACGAAAGTTATATTCAATATAGCTAATCAGTGACCATTTTCCACCTAATTAGTTAGAAAAACTTTAAGTTAAGAACTTACATTAAAACGGTCTACAGAACTTATTCTTTTTCGAGAACGAAGTGACCAAAAATAAATGGAAAATGTAATTAAAATTAAATATGCAAACATATACAAAAATATAAGAACTATCAAGACATCTAAAATGTAGTGACAAAGTGTTTTTGCAGTATTACTAAACTATTAATGCCGTAGTAAAACTTTAAAAACATTTTTAGCTTTTTGCACTACTAATTTGTAATTGAAAACAAATGAATGCCAAATGAACAAATTTTGGTACCATATTTCAAAAACCTATTGGTTAACTATTAAAATATTAAATCTGGCACGAAAGTACTTTAAAAATTTGTTGGACCTGGTCAAATTATTTAATTGTATTAACCTTAGCAACATTGTTTTGGTATGTAGTACAAAAGTAATCTCGATTTTCTCACTACGCTGTTTGCTTTCTTACTGCGTAGTTAAAATCCAGTTTTAGCAATTTACATTTATACAATTTCTCTAATATCTATAAACAAACATACGCCAAATTGTTCTTTAAAATACCAAAATTTACTATACCAACTTATTTAAATTTTCGGACAAGAATTTAATTAAGTTTATTTCAGTTGCAACTCAGTATACTTCAGTAAAAAATGGTATTCCTGGGCAAACATTATTTTCTATTTATATGGAAAATAAATTATCTGTGATTGCAAAAATTCAATCCCTTTTATATGGATATATACATATATGAAATATGAATCATTCTCGAAACAAGAATTTCAATTAAAATTTCACATAAAATTCACTTTTTAAATTTCGTAGTAAAATAAAAATTTCCATTTTAGAGTGCATATACATAGCTACCTTTTTTCATTCTTATTACAAGTGTTTTTTAATGCTGATGGTGGAAACATTATTATGAATCCTTATTTATGATTAACTTTTAATATGCTTAACTGGAAAAAGGTCCGAAAACCAAATTAAACACAACAACTGTTCAAAGTAAACAAAAAAGAAAACTACCGTAATAATAACAACATATTATATGAAAACACACAAATAAAGTGTTTCCATTATAATTTCAGAAATCTATAGCATTCAATCGAACAAGTTGAGCAATTTGTATACTGCCTCAGAACATTTTGTACAGATAAAATAAAAAATGCAATATTTTAAATTTTATTATTGGAATTTTAAATTAAATTTTTATTTAAACAAATTTTAAATACAGCTTGTTCTTATTTTTTGAAAATGAAAATTCTCACAATTGATAACAAAATCAAAGCCCATGTAATTCAATTATGGACGATCACCCTTATCCCATGAAAAAAAAATTGAAACAAAAAGCAACCTGATACGGAAACAACTGATAAAGATAATATTTGAGAAGCTTCAATATTTCTATAGCTTCAAAGTGAATTTTCTAACACTGCTATTTAACTTTAAAAAATTGAAAATGTATAGTAACAAATAATAATACATACAAGTATGTTATGTTATTGTTTATTCAATGAATCAGTTTATATTTTATAAATATATACATATATATAAATATTTATGCACTTAGATCTCTAGTACTTTTAAGTTTTTTTTTTCTCACGTATGCGTGCTATAGCTACTTGAGACATACATGTTTTTGTCACTGTTTAATTTCATTCATGCGGAATGTAACATGTTAAATATATATTATATAAAAATTTTTAATAAATTACGAACCTATATTTTTACAAAATTTGACATAGAAGATGTACCACGAATCTTAACAGTAAGTAACATGGAAGTTACTATTTTTAAAGTCACTCAAATTTTTGTTCTTGTAACATCACAAAAATTTAACAAGTGTTTCAGTTAATATCGCGAAGTTTGGTTCATCGAGTCATTTTTGAAATAATAATAATGTGTTAACCATGCTAATTTATCATTGTTATAACACAATTTTAAATCAAATGAAATGAAATAAGTTAAAATAATAATGTAAGAGTAATAATAAAAATATTAGATATGTAGAAAATTTTGTATCTTTCCTATATACATACATATGTACATTTTTCACATAATTTTCATACATTCATGTCACATAATCATTTCCGTTAGATATCTCAACTAATCACAAATAGATTATTAATTTTAATAAAAGTCATAATTATAATTTCTATAATTTTCTTTTTCTAAATCTATAGACAGGTCAACGGACGAGTAGACCTCATGACGGATCAGATAGTGGAGGTTTTCGCGGTCGTTCAAGGGTAAGTTCATTTTCATATTTTTTTTTTGTATAATCCAAAGGTTTGACTTCTTTTAGTAAAATTTTTCCTTCTTAGTAAATAATCACTATGATAAGATATTTCAAAACTTACTATTTAAGCTCATAATATTAAAAATATATTGAGCTTTAGATTGCCACCGCACCGATTAAAACTGCAGAATCATTTATTATTATAATAATTGGGTTCAGTCTTCTTCAGGAAAATTTGGGAAAAGTTCAAATCAGTTATAATAATTTCCTTAACAAGAAAAATTCAATGTGGTTTTTGAAAATTTCCACTTCTATTAAATTTAATTATTCGTATTTTTTGTAACGTTTAATTTCATCCAAATAGCATTCTCTTTTGTAGCTGATAGCAATATAAAAATTCATAATAAACAGAAATATTTTTTCTAAGAAAATTTGAAAACATAAAGATGCAAGTTTGTACAATGAAAAACTTTTCAATAATTTTTCATAAGTTTCAAATTAAATTTTTTGCAATATAATAAATTTGGAACGGGAAAAAAATCTATTTGAAATTTGAGCTGGAATTTTAAATACTTGTACTTAAAATACTTTAAAATTTCGTAGCATTTCGTTTGAAGAGCTGCATTATTTCATCTTTTTGATTGCTTTATTTGACACATTTTAAATCGTGAACTTCAAAATTTCACTTTTTTATATACAATATTCAGATTTTATCAAAGCTGACAAAATAATCATCATTTCATTAACATTGTTAACTTTTACATTCAAAATTAAATATTAGTCAATGATAACAAGAATTCCACAAATAACAAAAAACGAAACTTATTTGAGCTGTTTAGAACCATGTAATATTAAACTAATCATCTTTTTGTTACCATAATTCTATTGTATACGCTATTAATTTTGTTTTCAATCAGCAAAATTGAAATGTTTATAAACATTTCTTTGTCAGCATATTTCTTACATCAATCGAAATTCATACTTTTTATTACTTTCCTTTCATTTTTTGTACAATAAAAATCATATAAAATGTTATAGGACAACTTTATTTATCGAGTGTCAACTTCGAAAATTTTTTACGTATACAACAATAACAATCTTTCACGTTAATAAAAATTTTTCACATCCATAATAATAGAATGAAGTATGCAAATAATGTAAAATGAATTTCCAAAGAAGGCTCAAAAATTAAATAAAATTTTAAAAGCAAACAACTAGTTGTAGATAAATTTATCGTCCCAAACTGAACCTTCATAATTATAATATCATTGAGTAACTAAGCTATTATTTCAATATTTAATTAGAATAATATACATAAATATAATGAATATAAATATTAAATAAATTGTATAAATATTAAATATTGAAATTAAATTATATAAATATTAAATAAATTGTTTTTTTACAATAAAAATATAATATATAATGCAAGCAAATCTTAGATAATGCAAGCTCATATGTTACTCAAAGAATAAATCAAATTATAAATGTGCAGTAACTAACAACCCTTCTCCACACTTTTCTAATTAAAGACCTCAAATAACTTATTTTTAATTTACAGACGACAAATGTAGATAGATACTCGTATTATGTATGATAAGTTGTACGAATAAGAAAATTCCAAAAAATTTACTACTTGTGGCAAGTAATATTTTAATGATTCACACTTCCGAAGTTCCATATTGACTTCTCGGACGCAATGTGTAGTATATTCAAATACATTCTGAATCATGTATTTTTAATAACAAAATGCAACAAGCTACTTTTAGAGATACAACACACAATTTTGTGTTATTATATAATATAGGCTAAGTATGTACAGAATTGAACACAATGAATGTACGTGTGTACAAAATTCTTATTCAATCTTTTATTTGAAGGTTGGTTTTTTTCAAACCTATCATCTTTTTTTGTTTCTCTGTTTTTATTTTTTATGTCGATTCAATATTTTATTAGGTGAGGAATAGAACATGACAGTAAAACTGTATATTGAAGGGAATTAATAAAGGGTACTTAGGAAACGCTACTTTGTGAGGTGCTTTTTTTCCTTATTTTGCGATTTTGTTATTTTTTTTTTTGTAAAATAGAACGTGTACCTACTTATTTTATTTACACCACTTTTCATGTGTATTGTAAATATGAAATCATACTCATGTATGTATGTTCGTACGAAGATTTTACAGTGCTGAAATTTATACTTAGATCTCTCGGAAGCAGTAGGCAGGCAAAATATGAGCAAAAAAATATACATACGTAATATTTATGTATGTACATAAAAATTGGAAAATGCCTTTGGAATGGGACTGTTGAAAATATTAAAATATCTAAAGAATTCTATTGTAAATAAAAAATAAATAGGAAAGAAAAATATAATAAAAAAATCGGTTTGCTGTACTCTTGGAAACGATTTTTTTTTCGATATTATATTATTCCTATCTCCTTCGATCTATTTTCTTTTGTAGCCTAAATTAAGAAATATACCCAATATATTGAAGATTCAGGAAAATGTGTTATTTCTATTTGGTTTATTTTTTTCGTATATAATTTTGGGATTTATATTGTGTGAAGATGCGATTTTTTTTTCTTTTACTAAGAATCTAAGATTTTTCGAGTCTTTCTCAGAAAATTGAATAAAAGAAAAAAATTAGAATTTTCTTCTTCATTTTATTTTACTTTTTATTATTTTTTGGGTGAATCTGAGAAAAAAATCTGAAAAAGTTAAAGACGGAAGAATAAATTAAATAAATATTTTGAACACGTATTACGTAAGTGGAAAAATATATAAAATGATAAAATGAAAAGTTTTTCCTATCATATGTTGACAACTTTCTATATGTATTTGTAATTTTGTTTTTATCTTCTTGGTTTCCATTATTTTTCGTTTTTTGGCATTTTTTTTATTTCTGATAAAATTTATTGAAAATTAAGATTGAAGAGAAAAAGATGGACGGTGTTTTTTTTTTTATTATTTAATATATTATAACTTTTTAATAAATATTTATGCTAGGCTTCATATTTATTTTGAATACATATATAGTTGGAGATGTTAAAAATTGAAAAACCATAGCAAAATAAATGGGGCGCATTAACATAAAAATAAAATTTTCTTTGAATTAGAAATGAATTTCTGTTATTAATCATTCCGCTATTAATTATTAACGTTTAAACTTAAAAATTTGTGAAAGTTTCTCGAAAATATTAGTTCTAATTTGTACTATACGAAAACCAAATTTAATTTTATTTAATTTTTATTTGAGGTTTGAATTGTTAATAAGCGATAAGTTCTCGATAAGTTTTCGAAAATCTGAATATAAAATTATTTTATCATTCACACCTAACGATTTTAAAGTTGTGTTGCTTTAATAAAAAAATAATATCATCCATCCTTGGTTATAAATGAAAATATAAAATGGATTTGAAGAGTGAATATCCGAATAAATCAAATATTAGAAGAAGTAGTAAATTACCATATAGCAATAAAAAATACCTTGTTAAATCAATAATTTATCAATTATTAAACATACCCTACTAATTTATTATTGAAAACTTCAAATACAAAAACAATCAATCAAAATTCAAGTTATGAGAACAAGTTGCATAAAAGTATTAAATAACTCAAGAACAGACTCAAGACAAATTTCTCAGACCACGGTTTTTACATTGCTATTACTATTACTAAAATTCTCAAATCGTATTTTCATCTTTGTAATCAAATCTTCAATATAAAATATAATAAAAAAATTTTCTATTATTTTTTACAATATAAGACACAATGTGATATTTAAGTTCGAGTACAAGCAAGTTTAAGCAACAACAACATAATAATATGTATTATCTCTTGTTTGAAAAATAAACACGCAGTCCGACAAAACAGAACTCATGATCAAAACAGAATAATAAATTCATAACTTAATTTTATGGGTTTGTTTGTAGGTGTATTTGGGAATTTATGAGATTTTATGTACCTACGTAATACAGAGATCCCGATATTCAACCTTTGAATTTCTGTTTTATTTAATTTTAAAAGAAATATTTGTTTCCTTAGAATTATCTCTTAACAATGAATTATAAATTTCTGAACCTAAATTTTCACATATGTATGTGTATGTTTGTAACTACTAGGAATATGAGAACTTTGTACAGGAATATAGAAATTTATCAGAATAAACTTTATTTTTTATAAAGAAATGAAAAAACCAATGTTAGATACACACCAACACTTACTACAAATTTTATATTGGGTCTTATTAAAAACTATAAAATCATATTCTAGATAAATATTATATTGTATCTCATTCATATACATAATATGTTACTGTGACACAGTCGAAATAAATAAAACTAATTCATTATAGGAAATAATTATAAAAACACGTGAAATATTCTTTTAAAAATAGTTTGAATTTATAGTTTCAAGTTAGCTTTAAACAATAAGAGAAAATGATTTTTTGTTATCACATATTTGATAAGTAATATTTCGTTGACAAAATGAACAATGATATTTTCCAATTATATCATATAATACACGTATGTACATTGAAGCATTGAACACGTACATTGAAAGAAAATTCTTATAAGTAAATTTCGGCATTTTGATAATATCTTGATCCGAAACAAACACACTTAGCAAAAAATTAAAACAACAAAAAAAATAATTTTGAATTTGATTTTGAGCCTTAACAGCATTTAAATGTAGATTGAACTAAATTATTTACGTGAAGATGTTACTAGTTTATTAAGTGCTGTCATTTTCTTCCATCGATCCATACATAAATTTGTTTACGAATCTTTTACACATATTAAGATAGAAAGCCCAAATATTTTATGTATTCAAGAACACGTGCTTTTATCTGTTGGTTGGTTAAAATTTTTGACGAAAGTGTTTTAAATTGACAATCTAATTTTAATTTTTTGACAACCTATCGTTGAAACCGCGTTACATAAGTACTTTTAAAGCTCTATAAATACAGAGAGCTTACCCTTTACAATATCATTTTGTAACAATGTAAA